TTTCGGACAAACATTCAATATCCGTCTTTAGCCCTGAAGATAGAGCCAAAACCCAGAAGATCATCATCAAACAAGGCGAACGCTTGCAGCCGTTTAGTGCAGAATCCTTCATTATCCCGTCTTTCATTTAAAAGAATAAAAGTAATCCCAGATAATTACTATTTTGTCTGTTGTTTTTAGGCCTGTGTCCTGGCGTCTCAGTCTGAAAGAAGAACCTAAATTATGTTAAGCTTCACCAGATCTTATTAGGTAGAAAATCAAAGTTGTTGGAAAAAATGGAGTTTTAGGGAAAATGTTTATTAGGCCCACCAACCGTGGTCTTGGTCTACGCGCTCTGTGCACTCTGTGGACTAGAATACAGAACTGGATAACTGTAGAAGAAATGCAAGTCCAAGAAGGTACTGAGCAGCGAACAGAGAATGACAGAAGCAAACACAGAAATAAACTATGGATGGTCGAAGATCACTGATTTGTTGGATGGAAACTGCAACAAAATTCTGTGAAGCGCCCTGGAATGTTCTGTTTGGTAATTATGGAGCACGGTAACAGGGAACCTATGAGGATAGGAAAATCCTTCGAGGCTGAATAAAAAAAACGTGACAGAAATACTTGAATTCCAAACATTAAAGGAATCGTATCTAAATTGTTTATTTTTTGTGTTTCATACGCATTAAGTACGTTGATATTAGTTTATCCTTACTAAACATGGGCTAGAAGCGGTGCAGACCGTGGGAATAAACCATAATGAATTCAGGGACCATGACCATAAAGCAGAATAAGTTTGCATATACGTCTACTATTTTAAAACATTACTAACAAAACACTGCTTTATTTTATGAAAACGAATGGTCTTACTATTTGTACAACATAATATGACGTTTCACCACCATACACATATTTCTTAGAAACTCGTCGGGAGTGGTTTTTCTTCCAAAAATGCGGCACATTCCAAACTTGAACGTTGCCTGGCTACGAAGAGGAACAATGCTAGCCCTCCCGGATATTGTTTATGATTGTCATCACCAGGTGGAATACGTGAGCTGCATTGTTGCATAAGCATGGGGCTTCAAGCTGACAGCTTTAGAATGGCTTGCTTGATCTCATCCGAAATGACGAGTCAAGTGAGGATTTCATTTAAACTCGGACTGTAAAAATATTAAACTTCCACGTATTTGTTTGGCATGCATGAAGTTTATGCCCTAAAACATTTAACTAATTTCATTGGAGTATAGAGTGAAGAAAAATTTCTTCTCGGATGTTGCGCCATTTTGTCTGGTAGACGTTTACCGACGTTTCAGAGGTGTTTTCTGCCTTCATAATTCATT